GCAAAGCAGTCCATGTTTGGCACTTCTTTTCTAAAAATCTATTTTCTCAAAACGATTTGCCGGATTTGGACTCTTTGGTTCAAGATTAAGAACCATAACACAAAATCGAGTCCGAACTGTAGCAGCGAGGCCCCCCCTCGCGGGCGCGCGTCTACAGAACCACTCTTTGGTCTCCTGAAGAAAGGAACGAAGTTCCAATGGAACGGCCAATGCCAAGTAGCTTTCGAGCAGATCAAACAATATTTATAGAACCCACCTGTGTTGTCACCGCCTGAGCTGAGGAAACCGTTGATTCTGTATCTTTCAGTGACTGAAACTGCAATGGGTTGCATGCTTGCATAGGAGCCTGAGGACAAAGTAGAGAGAGCTACCTACTACCTGAGCAAGAAAATACTGGAGTACGAGACCCGCTACACTCCGCTGAAGAAGGCTTGTCTAGCCTTGGTATGGGCTACCAGGAAGCTGCAGCACTACCTGTTAGCTCACTCCGTAATATTGGTTTCAAGATTAGATCCCATCAAATATCTCTTCGAGAAACCAGCACTTACGGGTAGGCTAGCCCGTTGGTTGGTTCTGCTTTTCGAATTCGATCTGAAGTATGTGACGTGCAAGTCTGTAAAAGGGAGAACGGTAGCAGAGTTCTTAGCCGATCACCCAGTTGAAGGGGATGAAGCAGTTGTGTACCTATTCCCGGACGAGGCCATTCTGCATGTCGAAGACGAAACTTGGACGATGTACTTTGACGGAGCGTCAAACCAATATGGGTATGGGATAGGGGTGTTGCTAATAGTACCCGACCATTCCTTCATACCTCTCGCATTCAAACTCCGGTTCAAAGTCTCGAACAATGAGGCAGAATATAAGGCATGTATTGCCGGTTTAGAAGCCGCCCTAAAACTAGGGGCAAAACGGTTGGACGCCATCGGGGACTCGACCCTTGTTGTATCTCAAGCTAAAAGAGATTGGAAAGTCAAAGAAGAAAAGATGAGAATCTACCACCAAACTTTGGACATGCTGATTCCTCGGTTTGAGAAGCTGAACTTCGCTCATCTGTTAAGAGAGAACAACAGGTTCGTAGATTCACTAGCAACTCTATCTTCCATGATAGACATCCCTTTTGGAGTCCGGATGCGTCCGATCATCATCTAACAGAAATTTGTGCCGGCTTACGAGCTGATTGCTGCCATAGATGAGGTTCAAGACGAGAATCCCTGGTATTACGATGTCTGGAACTTCTTGGAAAAGGAAGCGTATCCTCCAGGGGCAAATGCCAAAGACAAGAGGGCAATTAGAAGAATGGCTGCTCAGTTCATCATCTACGGGGGTAAACTGTACAAGAGAGGTCATCTGGGGATGCATAAATTGTGTGTTAATACCGAAGAATCGAAGCGCCTGATGGAGGCCATCCATGGAGGAGATTGCGAGCGCACATGAATGGGGTAATGCTAGCTTGGAAGATCCTTAAACAGGGTTATTACTGGTCCACCATGGAGGAGGATTGTATTGGCTTTGTCCGGCGATGCCACAAATGTCAGATCCACGCCAACCGCATGAACATTCCGCCGTCAAAGCTGTACAACATGACTTTGCCATGGCCGTTTTCAGTTTGGGGGATTGATGTGATTGGAGCTGTCATTCCGAAAGGGTCCAATGGGCATGAGTACATTTTGGTAGCGGTAGACTACTTCACGCAGTGGGTTGAGGCCCAATCTTATGCGGTGTTGAAGGCTTCGCAAGTCGCTAAGTTCATCAGGAACAACATCATCTGTCACTATGGGGTCCCGAATGAGATCATTTCAGATAATGGCTCTCATTTCAACAAGGAGGTGATCGACTTGTTGGACAAGTATAATGTGGCTTTTCACGAGTCATCTACATATCGACTGCAAACCAACGAAGCTGCTGAGGCCGCCAACAAGAACATCAAGCACATTCTGCAGAAGATGGTGGAAACCTACCGGGACTGGCCAGATAAGTTGCCATTTGCTCTGTGGGGCTACCGGACTTCAATTCGAACTTCTACTGGAGCAACTCCTTATTCCTTGGTCTATGGGATGGAGGTTGTTCTGTCTATCAAAATTGAGGTTCCATCATTACGAGTATTGGCTGAGTGTCAGATAGCTAAGGCAGATTGGCAGCAGAGCAGGTTTGAAGAACTCGTGTTATTTGAAGAAAGAAGGCTAAAAGCACTATATCATGTTCAGGGTTATCAACAACGAATTGCCAGGGCTTTCAACAAGAAGGTTAAGTCCAGGAATTTGAAAGAAGGGGATCTTGTGCTCAAAGACAACCGAGCTCCCATTCACGACCCTAGGGGCAAGTTCATACCTAATTAGATTGGTCCTTACATCATCAAGTCTATATGGTCGGGTGGAGCTGTCGTTCTGATGGACCTAGACGGCTTAGAGTTCTCCCAACCGATCAACATGGACAAGTTGAAGAAATATTATCCCTGATTGGCTCATTAGGCCAAAAACCCGGAAGGGCGACCTAGGCAAAAGTTAGAGCATGAAAAATTTGAAATTATAAAAACTGAGCTCGCAAGGTTGAAAACTCGCAAAGAGCGGCCTTGGCAAAAGTTAGAGCGCAAAAGAAGAGTGTTAATATACGAGTGAACCCGAGCCGAACTACGTAAGGCTTGATTCCCTTCTTTAGGATACATAGGCAACTTCATTCTGAAGTCCAGCCATAAACACTTCCCCAATCAACTTTGTCCATGTGATCATGTTTGGTCATCTTTGTCTATTCAGCATTCAAGAGCTCGATTGTGGTCCCCAGTGGAGTGCTATTCAGACTAGGGGCAACTTTCCAGTTGCTGGGATCCGGGATTCTGCATCTCAGTGACAGATCTCAGGCGTGTCCAGTTCTGATCCATATCGAAAATGGTTTTGAAAAGTTTTAATAAAAGTTGATTTTGTTCAAATTAATCTTTTTACAACTTAGACCATTTTTGGACCAAACGGGAAATTTTCAGTACCAACAACCTTCAATTTCACTGATTTCGACACAGAGTTCTCCTACTCTTGAATACAAATTGAAGTTACTTTTTATTACATTCATAAAGAAAACTTGAAAGCACTGATAAAGCAATAAATTCGGGGCATGGATAAGTCAGGTGTTCCTGCGCCCCCTCCCAGAGCTGGTCGAAGCCTCTGATGCTAAAGTAGGCCCAATTTGCGCCTGCTCAAAAAACCAAGCTATACACTTATCAGAGAGAGTACAACTGAAAGTGGGAACGAGGGCCAGAAGCTCTCTAGTCCTCCATGTCATGGCATACCAAGCCAGCTGCGTGCCTCAGACCGGAAATGTAGCAGGGTACTCTATCCCTTCTGCTGGGCAAGTCTGATCATGTCCAAACTAACGCCAAAGCCAGAAAGGAAAATAGAACACATAGTGTGTCATGTCAATCAACTGAATCCTGGCTGGCGAGTCATACTGTAGCTCATCGCCGACAGATTGAGCCAAGGACAACGCCAGGCAATGCGGTCTGCGGACAAATTGCACATCCAGTCAAACCACCATCCCTCATCAGGAGCATCGACTAGACGTCGTCGGAAGAAATAGCTACGAGCTAAATATGATGGGCAGGAGTCCACAACCTTCAACTTGTCCATCAACCACACCTGGGGAGGGATGAAAAAAATGAGAGATTAAAGAATAGAGAGGTGTACGTTAAGAGAAAAGTAAGAAAAGGGTTTTGAGAGAAAAATCGAGCCTGAGGGCCGAGTGATGTGAGAAATATATGTGAGATAGGGTGGGAAACATTACCTGTAGCAGTAGTGGACTCCCTGCGGATCTAGTCGTCTCTTGGCGATAGAAAGCGTCCAAACCCATTAATGTCTCAGTCAATGTCATGGCGATGTAGCTCTTGCCTTCTCTTAAGCCCTCGACAACTTCAATCAAGCGAGTGCTAAACCCACCGGAGCCTGGGGCAAGCAAGAAATAAGACAACATGCACAAGCAAAGTGCATGTCATCGATAACCCTGCCAGTCATGATTGTCGCGGTCACCGGCATCAGAAAATCGACGAATTAAGATGGGGATATCCAGCACTCCATCGCGAGTCAATGACCGAGCGTCATGCAAAGTGAGCCCACACATCCATCCTAAGGCTTGGACGTGGCCAAAGCGGAATTGTGGCAAAATCTCTTCCTCGCGTTTGGACTCCATCAGAACTTGGAAGTCTTCGAAAGTAAGACATCCCTCTTGTCTGCCAAAGCTAAAGGCGTGTGTTACCGGATTCCAAAACTTTGCCGCGGCATGAAAGAACGGAAAACGCAGCGGGGTGCGACTCAATGTGAATAGTGCATTTATGCCAAAGCCCTGGAAATTCATCTTTTCCAAGCCATCCAAGGAAACAATCCAATTTGTGAGACTTTGGATGAGAAATGCCTCCATTTTGGTACAAAACTGAGTTAGAATGAGGGAACCACGAAGCTGGAACCTTTATGAAGGATAAGGCACTGTTTGGAGGACAAGTGTCAGAAAACTGGGGGGTTCCCAGGTTCAGTGGTCGGCCGACCACTTTTTCTAGTTGGCCAGCTACCTTTTTGAGTTACAAACAGAAAAACTGGTCAGCAGGATCCTATGGTGGTCGGCCATGAGCAAGAAGGTGGTTTGCAACTGTTTCTTGTCTCCAGGAGTGAGTCTCTAACTTCCCCGTGTGCTGGGAGTGCTGAAGGTTCGAGTTTACCTCTGTTTCGGAGGCGTTTCGTCACTTTGTTTGTGTAAAATGCATTTTGTTTATCAAGTTGTTGCTCATTTGTTTATCGAGTTGTTGCTTATTTGTTTATCGAATTGTTACTCTTCGCTTATCAAATTGTAAGCTTGTTAAGGTCTTGTTTTCGTTTTTAGGATTGAGTCGTTTTGTTGCGTTGGTTCACTACCTTACTTGGCAATACACGATTTTCAATTTTCATTTCAAATCTCATTTTTGTGCAAAATGGTGCGATGCGATGCTCAGAATTCAAATACAACACTTTTTGAACGAAAAGCCGTTTTCATTCCATCATAGCTTCTTTTTACAACATTTTACAAAAGGGTACAAGTTTTGGAAGAAAAATAAAACTGCCTAAGCTGTACAATGTGCTACAACTACATGTAAAAAGAAAAATAAAGTAGGAACGTCTGCATCAATGCTAACAAGCTTAAGACCGAGAGGCCCTCTTCACCCTCTTCGGCTGAGCAGTCTCTGCGCCACCATCGTCAGCATCTCTGTCTGAATCGGAGTCACCACCCTCGGAAGCCTCCTTAGTGTCGCCTCCGTCCTCCGAACCAAAACCTGAGTCTTCATCCCTGCCTGTAGATGTCTCAGACTGAGGATGTGCCGACTCCTCCTCCTCACTAGACTCCTGGTCATCCTGACTGATAGGTGCCTTGCGTCCCCCTCGGCCACGCGCTGAGACTCCTCTCTTAGCTGCTCGAGAAGGCCTAGATGGCCCAGTCCACAAAGGTGGGACCTGAGAAGGACAGTTTGAGTGCATCAGCCAGTATGTATACCAAATACAGATGCGAGAATGATACATAGAGTGGGTGTATACAGATATAGTGTGTGGATGCGATGTGTCAGATGTGCTTCACACATGCAATGAATCAATACAGTGAAATGTTCAGTTTCCATATGTCATCAGAAGCATGATAAATGCGAGGAAATGAAAAAGTACCTGAACACCGGAGGCACAAAGCATCGTCTCCCTCCGCAGAACCATGCCCTCGAGTGAAGCCACCACTCCGAGTAACCCTTCAATGTACTCTCTGGGAGGCTGTAGACACGAGTCCAAGTCATAAGTGAGTGAATGGATGCCTAAATATCTTAGTGATAAATGAAAACCGTAAAACGTGCCGGTGGTGAGTCAAGGTCACTAACGTATCGGTGATCTGGCCGTGGAGGCTCCAGTGGAATCAGGTATGGTGTCCTATACTCCCAGCCTGTCAGCCCGGTCGGAAGGTCTGGCCATCCAACATACTGGCAAGTCGAGGGCATCCATCCAGTCCCGCCCCTCGATGAGTTGCCTCGTTGGTCAAAGGAATGCCTCCAGTCCGGGCGCAACTCGAGGAAGGCATGTCAGCAGCTCTCCTCCTTGGGATACGGACACCTGACAGCGGAGGCATTAGGTACGTATGGCGATATGTCGCGTAATCCCCCTCCTCCAGAAAAAGGACTGCATCAATGCCTAACATAAGGTCCTCCGTCTTTCGGGACGTAAGATCCCCTGCGGACTGTATCTCTAGTAGAGGCAATAAGGGAACGTCATGATCGAAGTTGCCCATCGTCTGGCGCATGAAGCGCTCTCTGAGGAACCAGGCTCTGCCGACCGGTCCCTCAAGCAGAACCCCTATATCGCGAAGTGCCCCATGCCCTAGCGAACAGAAATCGAGGATTCCCTGGCATGTCTATCCAAGGCTGCCAGGTCACCTACGGGTAACAAATGTATACAATGATTAGATGTCATAAATATGCAAGATAAATCAAAGCTGAAAGCATTGAAGAACTGAGAGTTCTGGATTACCTCCGTCGCCCGTACAGTATCGGAGAACTGCCGGAGGTAGGGCAAAGTCTCCTGGGGCCTAGGCCGGCACCGACCCTCAAATCTGCGCAAGTAAGGGATCTCAAGAGGCACCTCGACCTCTAGCTCAGGGGCCAGTGTCGGGAAGTACGCATAAACCCAGAGTTGTGGAAGGCAACAAAATGGCTGTCAGAATACAGAAAGTATAGCAAATACAGAATGCTGAGTGCAGAACGCTGAGTGCAGAATGCTGTGTGCAGTGTACAATATATAGAAAATACAGGAAATGCAGAATGTTGAATGCAGAATGCAGAATACAGAATGTAGTGTGTACAGTGCGCAGTGTACAGATAATGAAAAGTAGAACCATAAATCAAGAGGCCTGAATGTACCTCCCAGGCTTGCCAGTAGCCTCCAACTATGGTCCCCCGCTCACAGGAGGTCGCGCTCATGTAGCAATAAAGGGTAACGAGGGCAGCGCCACCCCAATCAAAGAGCCGGACCCGTGATAGGTCCACCAGAGCACTGAGCAGATAAAGCCCAACTGTGTTCCCCCCTGCCAGAGAATAGTGTGGCCCCAAGGAGGAACATCAAAAATCCCCTGGCGTACTGTTGTACGGTCTCAATGGTCTGGGGCGAAGTCCCCCCGCACCGCTCGGAGAACCAGGTGTACCTGACCCTGCCTGATGATCTGTCGATCAGTAGACGTGCTCCAAGCAGATAAATCCAAGCTGCCTTCCACTCACCCATATCTGCGTCGTATGGAATCGGTCGGCCTCCCATCTCAAGGCCCGTCAGTATAGAGAAGTCGTATGGGGTCATCGTCATATCCCTGGTGGCCGAGAAGTAGAAGGAGTTAGTGGTGTCCCACCACCTCTCTACAAGTGCGCCCAGGAGGGTCCTACTCGCTGGATGACGTGACAATCCTGCGCAGAATGGGCCATACCCTTCTTCGTCCACGATGTGTCGGACAGCGTCTAAGAGCTCCATGTACCACTCCCTCTCGAGGATGGACCCATAACCCCATGTGAAACGGGAAGATACCTGCATTCAGAATGAACAGATGTATTCAGTTTCAGAATGAAATGTATGAGCTGCGTGTTTAGAATGAAATGTATGAGCTGCGTGTTCAGAATGAAAAGTATGAGCTGCGAGTTCAGAATGAAAAGTAAGAGCTGCGTGTTCAGAATGAAATGTATGAGCTGCGTGTTCAAAATGAAATGTATGAGCTGCATGTTTAGAATGAAATCTATTATGAGCTGCGTGTTCAGAATGAAAAGTATGAGCTGCGTGTTCAAAGTGAAATGTATGAGCTGCGTGTTCAGAAATGAAATGTATTATGAGCTACGTGTTTAAAATGAAAAAGTATGAGCTGCGTGTTCAAAGTGAAATATATGAGCTGCGTGTTCAAAATAAAAAGTGTACTGCGTTATGGACTGCGTGTTCAAATTGAGCAGTGTGCTATAAACCGAACATCGTGTTATGGATTGTGTGTTCAGATTGAGCGGTGTGCTATGTTATGAAAAAGTGTACTGCGTTATGGACTGCGTGTTCAGATTGAGCAGTGTGCTATAAACCGAATACCGTGTTATGAACTGCGTGTTCAGATTGAGTGGTGTGCTATGTTATGAAAAAGTGTACTGCGTTATGGACTGCATGTTCAGATTGAGCAGTTTGATATAAACCAAATACCGTGTTATGGACTGCGTGTTCAGATTGAGCGGTGTGTTATGTTATGAAAAAGGATACTGCGTTATGGACTGCGTGTTCAGATTGAGCAGTGTGCTATAAACCGAATATCGAGTTATAAACTGTGTGTTCAAATTGAGCGGTGTGCTATGTTATGAAAAAGTATACTGTGTTATGGACTGCGTGTTTAGATTGAGCAGTGTGCTAAAAAAAAAAAAAAAAACAAATACCGTGTTATGGACTGCATGTTCAGATTGAGCGGTGTGCTATGTTATGAAACAGTGTACTGTGTTATGGACTGTGTGTTCAAATTGAGCAGTGTGCTATAAAATCAAATGATGTGTTATGAACTGTTTGTTCAGATTGAGCAGTGTTATGAGCCGTGTGTTCAGATTAAAAACGGAATGCTGTGTTGTGAACTTTGTGTTCAGATTAAAAAACGAACGCCGTGTTATGAACTGTGTGTTCAGATTGAGCAGTGTTATGAGCCATGTGTTCAGATTAAAAACCGAATGTTGTGTTATGGACTGCGTGTTCAGATTGAGCAGTGTTATGAGCTGTGTGCTAAGTCAACTAAACAATGTATTGCGTTATGGACTGTGTGTTCAGATTGAACAGTGTGCTATAAAATCAAATGTTGTGTTATGAACTGCGTGTTTAGATTGAACAGTGTGCTATAAAATCAAATGTTGTGCTATGAACTGTGTGTTCAGATTGAGCAATGTTATGAGCCGTGTGTTCAGATGAAACAGAATGCTGTGTTATGGACTGTGTGTTCAGATTGAGTAGTGTTATGAGCCGTGTGTTCAGATTAAACAGAATGCTGTGTTATGGACTGTGTCTTCTGATTGAGCAGTGCTATGAGCCGTGTATTCAGATTAAAAACAGAATATTGTGTTATGGACTACGTGTTCAGATTGAGCAGTGTTATTAGTTGTGTGCCAACTAAACAGAATGTTGTGTTATGGACTGCGTGTTCAGGTTGAGCCGTGTTATGATCTGTGTGCCCAAGGTGTGCTGTGTGCCCAAAATGAGCCTCGTGCCAAGTTAGCAGAGTGCTGTGTATGAACTGTGTGTTCAGAATGAGTGAAGTGTTGTGTATGTAAATGTGCAAGAAGTGCAAAGTACATTACAGGAAATGCAAAAGTGAAGTACGTACCTCATGCGTGTGATGAGATAGGTGGGACTCCGGCTCTCGTAGCAGCAGGTCTGCAGGTGCCCGCCGCGCGATGTCCGTGAAGTGATAGAAGGTGCTAGGATGAAGGATGTGCTCCTCTGGGTCGTACTCCTCTGGGTCGAATGGCCGTATCCTCAGAGGCAACGGTATGATGTTGGGCTCGTCCCCTGCATATGGAGGACCTCCGCCATATGGGATACCGTCAGCCATCTGAACAAATCTGCAAAAGATGCAAAAACAAGCGAAATAAGCCAAAATTGCACCAAAAAAAAAGTCAACGAAAGTCAACTCTCGGGAAGAGAAAAAGTCAACAAAAGTCAACGCCTGGGAAAAGGTGCTAAACTTCAAGACAAACATACCTCAAGTGGTGAAAATGGAGAAAGAAGCTCTGAAAACAAATTTTAATCGGTTCAAAACGAAGAGAATCAAAAGTTTTCGCGAAACAACTTCGCGTGGGGCGTTGGAAAATGCGTATAAAGTGCAGATCTGAGAGAGAAAAGGGTCTAGGAGCAAAGGAGAATGTATTTCGGCCTTGGAGGTGTGATACAAACTGATTTGGAGTTGTGTACTTAAAGAACCGAAGCTAAAAGACCAAACTGCCTCGAATTTTTGTAAATTGGTCGGCCAACCAGTTTTTCTGGTCGGCCGACCACTTTGATGGTCAACAACTGGTCAGCCAACTTCCTAGGTGGTCGGCCATCCCTCCTGGGTGGTTTCCAAGGTCCCTTTGTTCTCCCTATGTGTTTTGATAATGATTGGAGTCCTCGGCTCTCGAGAAACGACAAGAAAAGTACACTTTTCGGCTCAAAAATGTCCCCGCGGGAACTCCAATTCAGGTCTTCGATGCGTAGCTCATCGCTTACTCGTCAAGAGCAAGGTGTATCCTTTTTAAGTACGTTGTGATCCCTTCGAGAGGTAAATCGGAGGTTACATTTGAATTACGCTTCTTTATTTAGCATTTCCTCTCAAACACACATTTGAAGTTGCGCATTTCTTTTGCATTGCCTTGCACTTTCCACACGCGTTGTCGCGCATGTTTCACCTACATTGTTATGCACACCACTTGTCGTATTGTTATGCACTCACTACTTTTGTTGTCACGCTCGTTTTGCTTACATCATTATACGTACTCATGTTGCATTGTTATGCATGTACATTTCACTTGCATTGTTATGCTTGTTTTATCCGCATTATTATGCATCACACTTAGGTTGCATTGTTTTTCATCCATTCCACATTGTTATGCGTCACACTTAGGTTGCATTACCATGCATCCCTTCCGCATTGTTATGCGTCACACGTAGGTTGCATTGTCATGCACCCCTCCATTTGCGTTGTCACGCACTTTTCACTTGCATTACTATGCATGTTTCTAACGATATTGTACCTGTTGAGTTTCTTTCTTTTGCAGGCACGATATTGTATGTACGGTTCATTTGAAGCTGGCGCGACCAGACGAACCGGACGGTATTGTATGCACTCTGTGTGAGACGTAGTGAGAATTGAATAATTCTCTTACATCCTTTCTGCATGTAATGCAGTTTGGTTCATTTTCATTTGCTTAAACTGTTGCATTTATTTTGCATATTTGCTTCGTTACGGCTTTCTTTACATGATGATAAGTTATGTTTGGCTTTGTGCATGTCATTTGCAACTTGCCCCTGCCTGAGGGCACATCTCTTTATTACCTTGCCTCTTTGTCTAAGTCTCCGGCCTTGTGAAAAATAGGTCATCTCTAGGCTTTGACATTCACTCCCGTCACTTATGACTTTCGAGCTCTGTCAAAGAGGGGCAACTGTAGACACCCCATTTTTGACTGACCTTAAGACTCAGACGTAGACCATCTCTTTTCACTTATGAATCCTGTTTTCTCTTCCCGAAGGGAGGGAGTGGTCTTGTAGACCATCTCTTTGTGGTCGTAGACCACTTTTCGCGATCGTAGACCACTTTTCCCACTTGGAGACTAGTTTTCGATTTTTGGAGCCTTCGGCCGCGCGCCTTGGCTCAGGAACACTATGGTCCG